GCAGACAAGTATTTTGTGTTGACCGGGAGATATTGTGCCTTCAGTTAAGTGTCAGGTGATAATTTGGCCCAGCTTTACAAGGAATCTTTGGGCTCTACAGTAACACAAGTAGTGATACTGATGCTGCTTGGGATCCAGCTGTTTTCTGAGCAGTCATACCCTGCACTCATCTCCTGGCAGAATAAGGCCCCTCTCCACTTACTCAGACTACATCATAGTTACATATTAATCATTTATTAATTACCACAGAGCAGGCATAAAATCCCTGCTTGTTGTTAAGTCCAACTCACGTATCTGGAAGCCCTCTTTTTCCCCTGTCCCTCCAAACAGCAATCAAAAAGATGAATTGAGTGGTCTACTTCCTTTATGCTGGCTTCCCAGTTACTATCTATTAGATATTAATCATGTGATAGGAGTGTCAACCACAGCTGATGAAAATTGTGATATCGATTTAGCTGTGTTTCGATAATTTAGGCATTCAGTAGGAGATGATAATTTTTACTGCAGCTGCTGGGGAGGAAAATTAGAGGTGTTTAATAGAGAAAAAAGGTTGCTTTACATTTTCTGTCATGTCTCCTGTACAAAGATAAAGGGGTAGGAGATCGGTGCAGTGATTTAATCAGTTTGAAGGGGGGACCTCTGGATGTCTCCAATACAACCATCCACTCAGAGCAGGATGAAATTAAACTAAATTAAATTAAATTTCAGTGTTTTATCAGGGTGCTCAGAACCTTGCCTTGTCAGGTTCTGAGTTTCTCTCAGAAAACCACTGGCTTCAGGCTCAGTCTAATCATTGATCTCCTAGAAATTACCTTCACACAGTTACCACAGTGTGCCATGCAATGCTTATATGTAGGAGGAAGAATGTTGTGTTACTTACAGGGCTTTATAAAAATATATATTTAAGAGGAAGAAAATGCATTGTCTCCAACAGGAAAAAAATAAGTAAATATCTTCCTACATATAAATAGAAAAGCTCCATATTTTCCAGAAGTAGCATAAACTTAACTGATAGTGATTGAGAAAAAAAAAAAAAATAAAAAATATTTTAAGAATTTGGAGATATCTGCCATTTCTCTTTTAATTTACAGCAAGCTCTGTCAGGACCCCTGAGCTCTGGCACTGACATACAGTGACTTTGAGGGGAGAAACACACTCAGATTTGAGTGCTTGAAGGATATCAAATAGGTAAAGTACTTAAGTAGCAACTTAATCTCAAGAAAACTTTCACCAGAGCCAAACAAAGGGCTAGGTTTGATTTCAAAAGACTTTAGATAATCTTCAATTTTTTTGTTTCAGTAAGCTTTTGTTAGTGTCCTAGTTTTCAGATCTCTAGCTAAGAGAGCACTGAGTGTCAGGATAAAACAAATCCCATGAGATAAATTCTCATTTTATGGGAAAAATTGTGTTCAATTTTTGTTTCCACTTCAGACCAAAAATAATTGGAAAATAATTATTTGGAATGTTAACAAATTTTGGAACCAGAAATGTGTGTTTTATTTGTATAATTCAGACCTGGTGGAAGCATTTCAAGAGGTATATTTTCTCCTGAGACCCTCTCATCCTGCCTATGACAATTGCAAATAAATGAATTCATGGCTCAGAATAAACCATGGAAATTTTCTTTCCACCACTGTAATATTGCACTGCATTAGTTGTGTTTGAATGCTTCACTATTCACCTTTCAAGTACTGAGGTAACACAAACCACTGACACATTTAGAATAGATGAGCCTGGATTTAGGGTCAGAATGGTTGAACCTGACCTTCCACTACCTTGCAGGTTTTTGAAATCTTTTTTGCTTCTAAAATTGGAAATTTAACTGACCCACTTTGAATGGATTTTTCAGTAAATGGCATTAGAGAAAACCCCCTTCGATGGAACCATTTCCTTTAACCTGTACATCTCTAACTCTAAGAGGGAAACTGAATTATACATTTAACTTTTCAAGCATCAGCATCTTTTAAACAAGTTGATATAGGTCATGGCTATCCCAGAAACAGCAAACTAAATTCTACCCTTATTTATATCCTCTTTTGGATGGCACAAGGTGAGTAAAATTTGGATTTACATGTAAATATTAAACAAATGTAACATACACACCTTATTTGCATCATTTTCATCTGAAAACATCACCAAAATTAGACCTGAGAAAAGGTATACATCTGTACATAAATGATGTTACACTGAGTGTTACTTTATGGTGCACAACTTCGCTACTTTTAACCCCACTGTCAGAGCAAAGTGACAAGAGTCATTGCCTAAGAAATAAATGTTAGAGAAGGATAGACTCAGCGCTCACCCCCACCTCTCTAAAATGTAAGCCCCTTTGTCAAGAATGTCTCTGAAATTCAGCCTACGAGCAGCATCAACACCCTTGTGTCTGCCCATTGCACATACTCTCCTAGAACCTCATCAGAGAACATGACAGTAGATGGTTTATTATATCTCATAGTTGGTTACAATCAGCATCGTTACCTGAGAAGATGCAGCCTGAGAGATTTGAGCCTAACCCTCTCTATATATGCCAGGTTTTATCACATTCTGGGTGGAGAGTCTTTCCTTGGGAGATGCTGTTGTCCTAATTAGCTATGCCACGAGGTATTTGCTGGAGAGAACATGTAAGAAGGATCCATAGGCTAGTGGTTGGGATATTTGCTTCAGAGGAGACTTCAAGTTTCTAGTTTCTAGCCCAGTATCTGCTTTATCCAAAATTTTCACATCCCTGCTTTGCTGTTGACTGGTGTAACTGTAGAGCTCTGAGCTCTCAGCAAAGGATATTGAATGATGCCACAGAAGCACCCTGTCCCAGAGCACCCCATAAATCCATGTGACCAAAATACTTACTAGAGAGCTATTAATTTAAATCCCTGAAAACAGATGAGGTGAGTGAATGCTGTCATCCCTCCTTGCAGGCAAGGTTTTTTTAAGGTTCACACTCAAGGCTTTTAATGAGCAATCAGGGCTCATGAAGACATCTGCCTAAGGAAAAACAAAAAACAAGGCAGCTGCTATCAGCTAGGGCAACAACAGTGACCCCAAGTCACAAGGGGGCAGAGCCTTGAAGCAGCCCAACCTGTCCAGGTCTGCAACCCCCTTACAATATTTTAGTGAAAATCCAGAAAAATATCCCTGAATAGGAGAAAGGGGTCCTGACCGTCACCATGTCAAATGAAGTCCGTCCACTTGAACATGTGGATTTACATACTGAATGTTTAAATACTAACATGGCAGGGTACATCACAGCTGCAGTATATTGGTTTTACAATGATGGAGAGACAGAGGATGGGATGAAGAGCTACATGAGATCATCAATCACTGTCACCCAGGAGACAGGGCTGGGACACAGGGAGTCATAATGCCTTGGTATTTTGTAATGCAAGATATTTTCGCTCAAAATGCATCTCAGGTATATCATGCTATCACTTATATACCATGGAGGATGTGTCTGCAGTTCATTCCAGTTTTCCTGCCTACAAAAGGAGTAATTTTCCATCTCACAGCCTTCACAAGGTTTCTCTTGAAGCCCTCTGTCCTCTCCCTAACTTAGGAACTGAAGGTTTTACTACATCCATCACATTTCCCAGGACCCTTTCCTTAGGATCAAAGCCCTGTTTCATAGCACAAGAGTCTGAACTGAAATGAAAAGCTGGCAAGGTCAAAACCAATGTTCACAGAGTTTTTTTCCCAGGTGGAGGATGACTGAAATTGGGAACTCACTATCACAAAGCATTCTGATCAAAATTGACATATCACACCTGAGGTGTAGACATGAATAAACATAGTCTGAGCCAGACTAGGAAATTTGAAAAAAAAAAATAGAAGCTTGAGAAGGAACCTATCTCCTCAGACATCAAGACAAGTGACAGCACATGGCAAGTATTGGAGAGCAATTGGATGGGGGCCAGCTGTCCAACATCTGCCCAATTCAGAATGAAAAGACATCAGACTGACCCAGGAGCAAACAGATCCAGTCTGGCAGTGTCAGTGACATTCGTGTTTTTGATACCTAGATGATGACTCTAGTCCCACTTTAAAATTGTATACTTTGTGCCCGCTTATTGCAGTATGTGACAATTTTTTGGTGGTTTTCTAATACCATCATTGAGTTTTCTTTACTACCTGAGTGATATGGATAAAGTAATGACATCATCTACAGATCTAAGAAAGGGTGAGCCCATATCCTGTCTTCCACCTGCGTTAATGGAATATATATACATACACTTTTTAATTTAAGTTATGGTCAGAAACCACAGTTAAGGTTGGGAAAAAAACACCTACTCCAAATTAACTAGGACAGCACAGAAACCCTTATAAAAAGTCCAGCAGCAAATGTGCCCAAACACCTTCAGTTCAACAGAGCCCAGCACAAGCATCAGCCTCAGTAAGAGAAGGAAGATGTCTCCAATCCTTTGTGTTTCTCTGGTAAGAACTTGCTTTCTGTTTTTTGCCTCCCCAATTTGACAGAGACATATTTAGATTCTAATAGATGACTGTGAAGAATGGGGATGTGCACCCACATTTAAAATGCTTGTTTAAACCATTAATAATTGAAAATAACTAAAATGGGAGACTACTGAATAGCACCAGCATGGGGCAGCAATAAGACTGTACAGGTATATTAGTGAACAGGACTACTGCAACATACTCCTAGTCAAGAAGTACATTGAAAACTCAACCTTAGAGTGTCTTTTTGTTATTGCATCCTTTCTGCTATCTCCTGTATAAAAATATTTTCTCTAATTCAAACTTTTTTGATCACCAAGTTACAACTGAGTGTATACCATACGTGTGATCACTGTAAAAATTAGTTAATGAAAGCAAGAGTGGATGTGATATATGACACATTTTCCCATAATTACTCCAACCTGAGTATAGTCTTTAACTACCAGCTAGGCTGATTGGGGATGAATTTCCCAGCCACACAGAAGAGTCGTTAGGCGTGTTGTGTTACAACAGCTGTACCTGCATTCTGTCCTAAATGCACCAATTGTCTTCAGTTCAGATCATGGCTCTTAATGCTGCTGGCCGTGCTGTCAACCAGCAGTTCTGCCTCTGGGAAGGTGATACAGCCTGGACTCAAGATGGAGAGCCTCTTCAAGAAAACATATGCTGGATGTCTGACCCAAAAAGACTCAAAATTGCCTCAAACTGTGAGAGTCAACATAAGCATCATCAACACAAACCAGGACGCCAGTGTGGGTCCTGATGTCAGCAGCCGCTCTCTGGCTCCATGGGATTACAGGTACGATCACTGTCCCTATAGCCCAGAAATACAGGGGCTGCCCCGGCCAAGAATCATGCCAAGGCTATGCCCACATCTTTATTTTCAGTTCTTCACTGTTGAGAGGTTTTGGAAATATGAGTCCGTATAATCTTCTTTGAAAGACAATCTGTACAGAAAGGAGCACAGGCTAAAAAAAATAGTCTAGGCCAACATACAGAAGGCAAAGCAATTTATTTTTGTAATTGAATTGATTTATTTTTCTATTGGGGCAAGCTTTCTCTTCAAAAGCATTCTTTACCTAAGGGATCATCAAAAATAGCCTGGAGGGCTCACACTGCACCAGATTTAATGGTGGTTTATTAACATCAGCATCAGACCCTATGAACATTTCAAATTTTGGAGGGGAGCTGAAGGTCTTTGGTCCTGTTAGTCAGTATGATATGTTGGGAAGCTCAAATAATTTCTAATTAATCTTTCAAAGTCAGTGCCTATTTGAAGAAAATTCTTTGCAAAGGCAGTTGCAGGCAGACCTGGCATGCTTGTCTTACATTTAAAGACCTGCAGTATTTACTTTCTTACACTTTCTTTCTTAAAAACCTACAGTAGTGGAGGTCTACTGCCCCTTCATAGGCAATCTCCCAGGAATTACATGTTCCCAGGCTGGGAGCCCATAGTGATCCAGACTATCATGCCTCTGGAGATGCAGCAGCATTTCCATTTCAAATACATCCTTTCATGTCAACTTACAGGATCGATGAGGACCACAACCGTTTCCCCGAGTTGATTGCCGATGCCAAGTGCCGTCACTCCAGGTGCGTGAATTTGGACGGTCAGCTGGACCACAGGGTCAACTCTGTCCCCATCAAACAAGAGATCCTCGTCCTCCGGAGGGAGCGGAAGGGCTGCCACCAGTCATACCGGTTGGAGAAGAAAATAATCACTGTGGGCTGCACATGTGTCACCCCCTTGATCCAATACCAGGCTTAAAGGGAGCCAGTAGTGTCAGAGCAGGGAGCTGTGGAGGACAACTGCCTTGCCTAACAACATTGAAATGAAGGGGTCTGGTTCACTCTCCACAAAACTGAATCAAGCCATAATTATTAGCTAAAATCTATCAGAATATATTAGAAATTTAAAAGTCTCAGTTAAAAAAAAAAAAAAAAAAATACATTTTCCTCCAAAATCTTGAACTCTATGAATTCAGAATCCAGACAACTTCATGTGTCAGGCTGAAAAAATAATGAGAACTCTTTACACATTTTTATTTTACATTCAGAATGTCTATTTATGTAATTCTATTTATGCTGGTGGAAAAAATAGTAATGATGTATCTGTTTATTTTTGTTTAATTAAAAAATAATTAAAAACTGTGGTATTCTCCTTTCTTTCTAAATAAGCCTTTTTGATAAGGCAAGAAGTCATTCAATTCAGTTATGACCATGTAAGAGATTTGCATGATGCTAAACCCTAAAATTCTCTTGATAACATCTAGCTCTGCTGCATAACATCTAGCTCTGAGCATAAAGCCCATAGAAAAGTTAGGGCTTGTATCATTTACACCATTTCACCAATAGAGAAAATAAGATACCTGGAGGAAAATGTTTTGCCAAGTGACACCCAATAGATTCACGTTAAAGACAGACTAACAACAATATCAGTGGGTAACTACCTAGTTAACCACCTAATTATCTGATTGCACAAGCGTTTTTAAAGGTACGTTCAACACAAAACTTTTTATACTTCTCTGGGGAAAAAGAAACTCCCTCTCCTAAAATGACGAGTGCTTTCCCACCGCTAAGTTTTAACTTTGGTCTGACGCTATCTAGAATTTCACTCCAACCCATTTCAACACATTTTCTGTGATGCAGAGTCACTACCTGGGTACATGAAGAAAAGAGCATGAATGAGTCAGGTGGATAATTGAAGCAATTAACCATATATCGCTAAGTGCAATCGTAATTTTCTCCATGCTGGTGTCCTTCCTATACCTTCGCTGCCAGCAGTTGGTGCTTCAAATATAGAGCACACTGACACAGCACTTCTACCACGGTTGTGATGGGATTTGCGTAGGTGGATGTCTAGCACTGCAGGTGGTTTTATTTAAAGCACACTTGGGTTAAAAGTGCTCAAATAAAAATGTTCTGTGTTTCAAAACGCAGGCTGCTTTGCAAAGGTGCGGATGTGTTTTTGCTGCCGTCTCAGGGAGGTGTGATCCTTCTCAGGCACTAGCAAAATGACGTTGGGAAATGCAACAGCTAATACAGAATTTCTAGAGATGCAGAGATGAGGGATGCAAGTCCCTAAGGAGAAGCGAGGTCCTCTCAGGTGAAAGCATCTTCGCCAGATCCAACTGTGCTGACTGGAGATGTGATCATCCCAACTTTTGCTTCTGGAGGTTATTCCCTCCATCTGTGCCAGTGAGCCTAAACTCTCCCTAATCCAGGCAAAATCGGATGGATCAGCCTGTAAACTAAGCTCATAGCATGGCCACAGCTTCCATATCATCCCTTGACCGAACAGATAGGCACTGGTCCAGGGAAACATTAATTAACTTGAAGTGATCACATTATCTGCAATCACACCAGCAAACTCTCATCCACACTTTTAGTTACCTTCAAACACTGATATAACCGTGTCCATATGTAAGTATCTAGCAGGATATGTGATCCTAACTTAGCTTGTTTCCTACCTTGTCTCCGACTATCCTTCTTTAAGGTCTCCTGTAAGTCCTGAAACTCATCCAGCTGACTGTCCCAGGAATATTAAACATGCAAACAGACTGCCAAAAGAACCATTGAGGAACACTCGTTCTTTAAGGATTTCAAGGAGTTATATAAATACTAGTCCAGGAAGATTGAAGTAGAACTGACTCCTTGTTGATTAGATAATCTCTCAATGTTCTACCACTTGTTTTAGGAGGAGCTTTGCCAAATTGTCTGCAGCAGCCCAAGTAACTTCTAACAGTTAAAATTACAGTAAGTCCCACCCTTTATTACTTGGTAGTGCCATTAGCTAGAGTTGGCACATGAGTAATGGAGACTATTTAGCAATGCTGAGGGAGCTACTATGTGGAAAAAGTCAGAAGCAGGTCAACAAGAGAGGACACAGTTGGAGTACCAACTTTCTGCTTCAGCTTTCTGCTGACGGTTTGCAAAGATACTACAGTCTCCCTTCCAGCAGCATTATTCTCCCTTGGACCATTTCCCAAGCCAATTATATCCATGCCTTAGGACACAAACCTTCTGGCCTCATGTTAACTTCATGTTCACCTCCGCAAGATGCCTGGGTGTTATACATGCTCCTGCAGAAACGCTTAATAGTATGATCACCCGGATTCATTTGACCTGAGGACTGTTTTCTTTCCTACTGCAAGTTCTCTTGTAACTCCTGGCATCATGAGCTAAGAGATCTTCCTTCACATTGCTGTGTTCAGTTGGAAAGGTGCAGAATAATTCCAAATCAATGCACCTTGCCACGAGGTCATCTAAGCATTGCCTTTGTTTCTCTGGACAAACGATCATGACTACAGTCAATAATGATCACAATAGGAGACTGAAGAGAGCAGGACCCCTCTTTCACCCTTGCAAAGCTCATATCAGTTTGAGATTCAACAGGTAAAGCTTGCTCTTTCTTGTGTTGGAGAGTTTCAGTGCAAATTCCTGTGTATTTGATGTCCTTAATGATATCATTTGGGGGGGAGGGAGTGTGGGGGGAATTGCTGCAAAACCCTCTTCAACACAAAGGTTTCCAGTCCAGCACTGCTCCCTGGCTCAGTTTCATGTCAGTTTGCAAAATCTGAGCAGCAGCATCTTAGCAGCCAAATTGCTTGTCGCTCTGTGAGCAAACTCCAGCAGAAGGGGAAGTTTGAGATTGTATTTGTGTAGCAAATGATGAGATAACCGTGCTCATCATTTCCAGCTACCAAAGCAAGCTAGAACAGATACCAGGTGTTCTTAAAAGGTGATATAGATTCAACAGTCTGATAAGCCTTCCAACATAAAGGAGGCCAGGAGTACAGATTTCAGATGTCTGAAACGAAAAGCAAGCCCTCAAAATTATAGGAGCAAGTTAGAGAGAAGATAAACCATCTCTATTCATTTACTGGAACAGGGAACCTTGATCATGGTACAAACATACTGTGCTTACTAAGAATGCAGATAAAACGGAAACAAGACACTTTGTATTGTTAAAACCACTAAAACTCACTCATAGAAAGCTATGCCCAAAAAACAGCATTTTGTGTAGAGCCTCCTCAGTCCACAACCCCCCAGAGAGCATCAAACATATTTTTAATCTTTTGTCAAAGTTGCAGAAAAAGGTGGAAAAACTGAGCTAATTTTCTGAAGGAAAAATAAATTAATTAAATGAAAAGTTACACGGAGAGAAGGAATGGATTTATCTGAAGAGTTGAGGACTTGGATATGCTACCATTATCCAGCTCTGGAAATATGGAGAATAGTTAGAAACGATGGAAAATGTTTCTGTGAGTAGAAAAGACAGAAAACATGGTTTGGTTTTGGTGCTGAGCCTGACTGGCATCCTCTCAGCTCCTGAAATCCAGGACCAGAACATAGTCCCATCCCCACCAACAACTCTCACTTTGCCAAGCAGTATCAGGCAATCACAGATATTTTAAGCATTTAATTTTTTTTTTTGTCACCACCTTGTAACAGTGCTGTAGAAGATACATCTTTGGCCCACTCACCTAGATTCTTCTTAAACACAAGGTTAACCATCATACCAAAGAGGAAAGAAGAGGAAAAAGGGAAAGGAGACAAAAGAAGGAGATCGAGGCAAGTCTCACATTTTACCCAGGGATGGTGACATGGGAGCAGGTTTCTGGTTTGATCTGTCTGGCCATCTCCCAGGACATCCAGAACTCACAGCTGATATGGAAATTCACCCCATTATCTATACCCATCACGCTGGCACCAAACCAGAGACCCCCACAGGACTGACCAGCAAATCCCTCATCCCTTTAAACTTTTGGCTGTTTAGGTCTCTCTATGTAGACTTCTGGATTTTCAAGCCATTGCTCCTCTGGCTTACCAAACACAAATAGTTCTTGGGTTGTTTCAACCTTTTAGGTTGCAACCTCTACATTCTTTGTATATGTAACTTCTGTGCACATTGAAAAGCAATGATATTTTAGAACAGGCTGACCTGGTCTGTAGTCCCTTTGAACACCCCCAGGAGCATCTGCCGGTTGCTGAGGATCCACAGAAGCCTGACTTGCACCTGCAGGCCAACACATCCACAAGTCAAAGCACAGGTCAGGGAGGAGGCATCTACCTGGGCTCACATCACTGCTGTGCCTCCCAGCCCATGCTCATGCAGCGTGCTCCCTCCAACATCCCGCGAGAGATGCTACATGACAGGATCCCTGCTTGAGCTGCCAGAACAGGCACAGCCAAGGGGAGGAGTGAGCAAGGGGACAGGGAAAGGAGGTTAGCGAGAAGCAAGCAGAAGAGGAAAGAAAAGGCTGGTCCTCAGCTGTGAATGTACTTGCTTTTGGTGGTGATATGACTGTGCTGTTTACAAGAAGCGTAAACTCATTTGCCGTGTTCTTAGATTGTTGGGAATGAAAGCCAACCACCTACCTCATCGCAAAATGCAGCACCTTAGAAAATAATCAGACTCATGTTTACAACCAGATGCACTCTAAGAATGATGCCATTAGAAGGAAATAACCCTTATTGCTTGTTTTATTTAGAAACAATCCCCACATACAAACGCATGCTTCACTGAGAGGTGTGTGGTTTGCAGTTGATACTGCTGGCTGCAAAACCTCATGACCTGTGGCTGAGACCTCCTTAATTAGCTAGCTTTGTATTTTCTTAATTAGCTACTTTATGATTCATCCAGCTAGAACAACTCTGAAGCTAAGCCGATGAGTGTTTAAGAGCACCAGCAGAGGAGCTTGCATCATTTTAGCTGCCACAAACCCAGTGCTGAAATAATTATTTCTGGAGAGAGAAATGTAGTCTAGTTTTCTCCACGCGAAACAAGTGAGGACAACCCCACAAGCTAGGTTGATCGAGCGGGAGAGAAATAGGTCAGGAGTAAGAACCAGGGTGTGTAACGTGCGATTTCCTGGTCAGCGGTTACTGTAAGTGGAGAGCTGGTGTCACTCAAGAAGACGCCTCCATGGCTTTGTGCTCCACCACATGAAGAGTTTGGCGGTCATAATGAAACAGCTGCTGCCACAAATGAGTGCATATGCTTGTCACTGAATGAGATGGTCTCCCTGCCTGGTTACCCACGGCTTATTGAACTGGCCCCCAGTGACCCGTGGGGCAGAGAATACATCCGATTCAACAAACAAGCACCAAAGGAGTCATTTAGACTCAATGACTCGTCTGACCTACTCAGGGGAGGAAACTGAGGGTCCACCTGTGCCAGGTGGATCTAATTTAAAGTGGTCAAAATGAAACATGAGAATGCTTGCACACAGGCTTACCCTAGTTTAAATGCAGGTGAACAAGGAAATACAGGCTTAAAACCTCCACCAGCAGAAACCAAAGTCAGAGGTCTAAGAATCTGGCTCTGCTCTGGATGAAAGGTGAGTAGTGTCTAAAATAAGCAACGCTGCAGCAATCTCATAAAATAATAAATAGTGGGTCTTGCTAGGCTGTGCTCCTTGTGTAACTCAGGGAGGGAAAGGGCAGTTCCCCCTTTCCTAAGTTAGGACACCTCAGCTCTGAAAGTAGTCCTGCCCTGGAGGCGTTATTCTTTGTTCCCTTGATGTGGAAGGATCCTCATCCACTACTTCAAGCCCAACAGCTAATATTTGGCTGGCTAATGAGCAGTGAGATGAAGCCATCTTTGAACATTTCGCTGCATTTCTGCTCAGCCAACCATCCAGCTGTGGGGGGAGAAGGTGGTTTGATGACTTCTTGTCTGGAAGAGGATAAGACAGGCCTTTCCCACCTTACCTGAACAAGGCTAGGCCCCCATCCCAAATTTTGGCTGCAGCCCTGCCATGCAGTGTCTCCCATCTCTTTTCCTACCACCCCTAGAGGCCATCCCCAAGGTCCAGAGAACCTGGCTCCACTGTCAACTCCCCCAGCTCTGCCTGTATAACCTCACTTCACCACTTTCAGCCCTTTTTTGCATCTTTTCATCTATTTAGGCTGCAAGTTCTCTTGTGCCCTCTCTTACTCATATCACTGCACCGGAAAAAGCCTGATCTTCACTGAAATCTCTCAGTGGTACTGCAGAAAAGAACCATTCTCTGTGTCTGCTTTCATTTTGAGCTACCATAAAACAACGTTCTTTTAAATAAAATACTATTTTTATTCAGCAGATAAATTATTGAATAAATACAGATAAACTTCTACCATTTTTTTGATACTCTAAGCACGTACAAAGCCATAAATACAGACGTAAATAGAAGATATAAATAGAAATATAAACACTTGTTGGTTCTTTGCCGTTTTAACACTCAGTGCAAGTGGACTCAATTGTCTCCCAAAATGCTCTGAAATAAGTCAGCCACTGCTTCACATGGGAGCATCCCACCCAAAGTGCAATCAAAACCAGGCCTAGGGGCGTTTACGTCAGATTTACAGTATAATATGTTATTGAACATGGATAGCCAGAGGACTAAAAGGGGCTAGAGTCTGGGGAAGGGAGAGAGAAGGTGCAAGGGGAGGAATTTTTTGTGGCAGTGCTGGTTGGCATGCATATATTAGGGCAATTTGCTGCCAATGACAACTTTTGAAAATATAATTAATTTGATTCACTAAACAGATATAAACCACAATGAAAAATAAAGAAAAAAAAAAAAAAAACAACCAACCAAACAAAAAAAACAACACTGCTTTACCCTCTCCCTGCTTGGAGTCACAAACAAAATTTCTTCTCCATTCCTCTCTCTCCCCTCCATCACCAGCTTCCAGTGACTTCCATTCAGAAATGAACAACAGCAAGTATCACTACTTTCAGGGGGTAATTTGCTCAGTTTTGAAAAGGAAATATAAATGTTGATTCTGGGATGCAAGGTGGGCATCTCCCCTAAGAGACATTCAAAGGAGACATTTCTTCTTCCTGATGTTGTCTCTCACATTAATCCCTCCTAGGACTGTTGGTGGATGATTGGAGCAACACACGTGCAGCCCACGGTGATGACTTTCTTCTCCAGGCGGTAGGTGGGCGAGCAGCCCCACTGCTCCCGCCGGAGGACAAGGATCTCCTGTTGGATGGGGACGGAGTTGAGGCTGTGGTCCTCCTGCCCCAGTGGGTTCATGCAGCCGGAGAGGCGGCACTTGGCATCGGCGATCACCTGGGGGAAGCGGTTGGGGTCCTCATCAAGCCTGGGGAGGGGGACACAAAAGGGTTTCATACACTTGGACAACATGGTTTGGCAGGATCTTCTTGTTTATATCCATGAAAGCACCATACTATTTACCTGTGTATCCTCACTATGAGATGCAGCCAAAGAATTTCCCCATCTGCTACACTTTTAGAATGTTTTCCTAGAAATTAAATCAGTGTTGGGTGGGTAATACCAACATATCATTCTTTAGGAGCTGATGAATGGAGTGGAGCTGAGTGAAATATAGAACTGATCCCAAATGCACTACTCTTTTTTGTTTCATTTTAGTTTAATTTCAGCATTCAAAAATTTATTTCTGTTAAGAAAATGTAAAATTACAATTTAGTGACATCTTTCTTCTCTTAGAGGAATAATTAATTTCATCAGAATTTGGACCCTATGCAACCCTACAGGCTTGGGGAGGAGTGGCTGGAAAGCTGCCCAGTGGAAAAGGACCTGAGCATGTTGGTCAACAGCCAGATAAATATGAGCCAGCATTGTGTCCAGGTGGCCAAGAAAGCCAACAGCATCCTGGTTTGTATCAGAAATAATGTGGCCAGCAGGACTAGGAAAGTGATTGTCCCCTTGTACTTGGCATTGGTGAGGCCGCACCTTGAATACTACATTCAGTTTTGGGCTCCTCACTACAAGAAAGACACTGAGGTGCTGGAGCATGTCCAAAGAAGACCAAATGAAACTGGTGAAGGGTCTGGAGCACAAGCCTTATGAGAAGTGGCTGAGGGAACTGGGGTTGTTCAGCCTGGAGAAAAGGGTGCTGAGGGGAGACCATATTGTTCTCTACAACTACCTGAAAAGAGGGTGTAGCGAGGTGGGTGTCAGTCTCTTCTCCCAAGTAACAAGCAATAGGACAAGAGGAAAAAGCCTCAAGTTGTGCCAGGGGAGGTTTAGATTAGATATTAGGGAAAATTTCCTCATGGAAAGGGTTGGCAAACATTGGAACAGGCTTCCCAGGGAAGTGGTTGAGTCACCATCCCTGGAGGTATTTAAAAGGAGTTTAGATGTGGTGCCGAAGGACATGGTTTAGTGGTGGACTTGGCAGTGCTAGCTGCCTTGATTTTAAAGGTCTTTTCCAACCTAAACAATTCTATGATTCTATGACCGACAAAGATGGACAAGATGATTAGAAACCATTCCAATGATGTCCCTTTACATTGCAAACAGTTTCTCTTGGAGAAATCTCATCCAACATCAGAATATAAATGTGTTTCAAGAAGTGTTTGCAATATTCACAGGACTCCAAACATATGCTGAGAACCAGCCATCGGTCACGAGAGAAAACCATCTGTGTAGCACAGCCATTGTAATTTGGACAACAACTAAAGTTACCTGTAATCCCAAGGAGCAAGAGACCGGTTCCTGACATCATGGACAGTCCTAAAGGCATGACCTGAATTGCTGATACGAATGTCAACTTTCACCGTTGTAGGGAACTTGAGATCCTTTTGGTTCAGGCAATCTTCACTAAGCATCACAGAGCTACTGTCCTTGAGGAGTTGAGGGTTCACCCTCCCATGGGGTGAGCTCCTTACGGTGAGTACTAGAACCTGCACCAAAAGCAGTGATCTGAACTGGGAGAGAGAAAGGTGTTTTTAGCTCCATTCAGTCAAGAAAGAGAGAGCACAAAGAGTCAAGTCTTGACTGGACTGGACTATCAATGGACCCTCTTCATACTTGCACGTTTTGGGTGAGATGGGCCAGCATGAGCAAATAACACAATGATGCTAATAATACTCATTACAACAGATGCTAAACTCTGATTCAAATTCTGATTCATAGCTGGCTCTGCACTAAGAAAAGCATCTCTCCAACAAGCTGTAAGAGGTCTTCTTCCACAGTCAAACAACTATATCTTATGATCTACAAGGTGGGTAAGGACTCAACTGACCTCGTGCCTAAGATTAGAAACCAAGTAAGCCATAAGCTTTCTCAGGACAGGAAAGGTTGGCCACCTAGTAGCCATCTCCTGGAAATAACCCTTTTCTCAGTGAAATCTGAGATTCTTGGGCCATTCCAGGAGCTAGGATTTTAGGAAAAGAAGACAGATAAATGCAAAGCTTTTAAGTAAATCACAGGTGTTGACAGTGCTGCAAATACTACCCAGGCTGAAATTTAAATTCACAGACATTCACTTCACAGTGAAATTTCAGGAATTTTGATGGCATGTTGTCTGACGTTGACTGTCTCTCCCAATCCCACATCAGCAGTGCTGCCCTTACAGATGAGTAATGGATAGTCCATTGCCTCCTTGACACTCAAGCATCAAGCCTATTTGCAAAAGCTCAGGACAGAAAGCTGTGTCAGACAGACATAACATCCCATTCAGCTCCCACTAAAACCAAAAGGGTTGCTTGTAGATAACAATGTCATGGGATCTGCATTCTGCTTTTTCTCTTGCAGCAAATGTATCTTAACATTTTTACCAAATATAAGTACTTACCACTGCAGTGTAGCTGGAAAAAGCCATGGCAATCTCTCTGCTGCTTTGGGCAGATGCACACAGTGACAGAGGACAAGAGTTCTCCTTCTCCGAGACCTCTTCCACTCTGCATGTGTCTCAAAGACAGTTGTGGTCTCCTTTTTATAGTGAAGTTCAACCACTACCATCCTTTCCATTGCAGTATATAGCTGGCTTACCTGACCCGAGGTTAGGAGCTGATATTTCATTTTCTAGCCCACTTCCTTCCTTCTGTCTCCAGAAAGTTGGGGGGGGGGGGGGGCGCGTGGAGGGGAAAGACACTGTCATCAGAATCCCAAGTCAGCCAACACACTTTGTTCAGGCAGATCAAGAGATAAGGGAAGAAAAAAAAAATGTTCAGGTAGCTTTCTTTTTTTTCCCACCTCATCTTTCTAATGTTAATGTTCTCTCACCACAAACGCATCTGTAGATGCACTTCCACGTGCCTCACACAAACCAAAGTGCAGAAATCAGCAAGCTGCAAAGTCAGGCACCCAATGAGGGTTTAAAAATGAGGACAGGACATGGAACTTCACAGTTTAACCTCCCTTTGCTTCAACTGCACAATCTGCCTCCACCTCATCTTGGGGATCCCCATGTGCCGCCATGACTGGGCAGTGGAAGAGTAGATGCCCAGGGGAAATCCTCTTGGGGGACCTCAGGGCACCAGGAGCCCCATTTCAGTTCACTTGCAGCAATTACATTTAGGATAGAGAGTGAAATTGTACTAAAAAAAAAAAAAAAATAAAAAAAAGAGGATTTAATAAGAAGATGGGGTACACTGGGGTGATCAGGCACAGAACTCAGTCAGACAAGCATACTGACCACCATCCCACCTAGGTGTGATCAGCCTCTAACATCTCTCCTCTCATTTTCCTGTTTGTTCATCTCTGATCCACCCTGACCCTTTCCTTTCCCCAGCTTTGCCCCTCCCCCTAAACATCCCATATTAAGTCTTGCACAATTCCAAAATGCTCTTCCTGGCACACCATAAGGAGTCCCATACCCCTGTAGCCAGCAAGGTGATGTTGGGAAGGCCTCTCTCATTAACTGGTGGGTCTCACATCTAGAGTTGGGTTGACCATCCTCCTTGGACAGTCCTGAAAGAGCCGGGTCAGTGGCTCCTCGGACACTAGGTTATTTGGGTTCCTCCACTCGGTACTGCTCCTCTGCTCCTTTGTGTTCACAGAAAATAATGGCTCTTAATCACACAATCTAACAATCCTTATTTTATAATTCGGGGAGAGAGGCATGAAAATAACAGGAGCAAGGACTCTGCTCTATGATCAAGCAAAGATGAACCACAAACTGGAGGGGAAAAACCAGTGCACGTGTTGTTTCTCCGGAAGAACCAGCAGCTCTCTTTGGGAGTAAAAGGTATTTTTATCGCAGAAAAAGACCATATAACCACCTTGATCTGCTTTTCTGTGGAGAAAAGCCCCAAGAGAAGCCTCTCCCAAAGCCATGTAGGCAAGTTGGAAGAGGAGGACTGAAGCATAGGACTCTTAATACAGATTCATCCTCAGTCCACCAGGAAATCAACAGATCCATGGCATTTTCAGTTCCCTGGAAAATCAGGACCCTCTTACAGATTAATGACATTTTCAAATGAGAAGTGACTAATCTGGTCCCTGCTCTGTCACCTCTCTTGAGTAATACCAGCAGAAATCTCCATTGACTGATGTTTTATGTCACTGCAGGATGTTGTCGTGATTTTGTGGTCTGATCCAGCTGACAGTTCAGAGACCAGAGACTCAACTCACATAAATTTTTCATATTTCATGTTACCAAATTCTCCTGAGAAAATAACAATTTTGTGACACAAGTTCCTATTCTGAGTGTTCACATCTATATATCTACAAATACATCTTCTGAGACATGAAGTATGGGAGACCAAGAAAGGGTAGAATTACCAGAAATCCAGTTTTATAGCCTAGAAACTGACACCCTTCTTTTCCCCAGAGAGCTTGCAATAAAAGGAAAAGAGCATTGCTGTGAAAATGAGTTGGATTTTGCAGTTACAGAGTTAAGTGGAAATTGTTACGTGCAATGAAGCAATGATGTCATCATGCCAAATACTGGGTTATTAGCATTGATCACCACTTTCCACTCACATCTGCTGTCCTCAGTGGCTAATAACTTCAGCAAGAATTCCCTCTTTCACCTGAAATTTCCTATAACTGAACTTGTCTTGAGTTGAAGTTCACTGAAAATTTGATTTAAAAGAGGTCACCTAGCATGAAACATTATAAGGGAGGGAAAAAATACTCATTATCATAGAATCAGTAAATGGCTGGGTTGGAAGGGACCTTAAAGACTAGATAGTCCCAACCCCCCTGCCCCGGGCAGGGCCCCCTTCCCCCAGCCCAGGGGCCTCCCAGCCCCGTCCAACCTGGCCTTGAACCCTTCCAGGGAGGGGGCAGCCACAGCTGCTCTGGGCACCCTGGGCCAGCGCCTCACCCCCCGCACAGGGAAGAATTTCTGCCTTACATCTAATTCAAATCTGCCCTCTTTCAGTTTAAAACGATCACCCCTCCTCCTACCCCCACCCCCCGATCCAGAGTCCCTCCCCCCCTCTCCTGTCCCCACTTTAAGCCCTGGGAGGCCGCTCGAAGGGCTCCCTGGAGCCTTCTCTTCTCCAGGCTGAACCCCCCCAACTCTCTCAGCCCGGCCTCCCAGGGGAGCTGCTCCAGCCCCCCCAGCATCTTCGTGGCCTCCTCTGGTCCCGCTCGAGCAGCTCCGGGTCCTTCTGCTGTTGGGGGCCCCCGAGCTGGCCCCAGCACTGCAGGGGGGTCTCCCCAGAGCGGAGCAGAGGGGGAGAATCCCCTCCCTCGACCCACTGGCCACACTTCCCTTGATATAAAAAGCTTAAAAAGCTTTCACTTCCATGTTGCAATGGGTTGGAGCAGGGATGAGGACTTGGAAATCAAAGATAAGTTCTAATTTCACCAAGAACTCTTCTGTACTTGAGTGACTATAAATAAAACCACTGTTTGCACTGCTGGATTCGTTACACACTTAAAGTTTTCATAACACTGCAGGGTCTTCAGACAGAAGACATGCCTAATTTCAGGTTGGGCTTGGATGCCACATCTTTCTAAGCTTCTCTGAACTTTTCAGTTTTCACACCTCACTGGAGGCACCTATGCCACCTCCAAGGATACCTGGAATTAAAGCTCCAGTGCAGACAGAAACCAAAACTACTCAGATGTCTTTGAATCCAGAATAACAAACATCAGGCACTGAGGCATAACCTGCATTTCACTGGCTTCACTACTGGGCAAAGCAAGCGCTGTTTCTCAGCTGCATCTCTGCAAATATTCATAGCTGGTAGTCACACTTTGATGACATGATCATTTTCTGCTTTGGAAGCACGTGCCCTGCCATGAGGGAGGGACCAGGGAGACTAAATAGGTCTGGAATCCTAATAAATGAACAGAATTTATCTGGAAGTAATGTTTCTCTAGCATCCTCTGCCCCACCACCACATTGTCCCATGGATGGGGCCCATTGGACCTGGTGTTGGTGTCTGCATCCCAGCAAGCCATTGTCATTTCTGCTATGAAAATAGGCAGTGTTTTGGGGGCAGGCGTCTCAGCCAGCTCAGCTGAAGCATATCAGAGGACCTTCCATAGCCTATAGCAGAAAAGGAGGTAATGGGACTGAAATTGCAACCCCTGAAATCTCTGATGCAAGGCCCAAATAAATATTTCAGAGCTGAGCTCAGCAGGTCAGCTGAAGCACAAGCATAGGGCAGGGCCCATACCTCCAGCAGCTTTCTCCTGTCTCACTGGCCACCCCAGGTTTTTCCCTTCATGACGCGTGACACCATAAAATCATCTACCTTCTGATTTAGAGAGGTGACTGTACACATCCGCGCTTACCCCCGGCAGGGTTTGCTGACAGCGCTTTCTCACGTCGGTGAGACTCATGACCAAGTTGCCGACCACAGCCGAGACACGCGAACTGGAAAGACCAAATTTTGAGGGGAAACGTGGCTGGCCAAGTGTGCCACAGATACCAGCAGCAGAAACCTCTGCATGGAGCTGTCGGCATGCTCTGCTCCAGCACGACAGCAACCGCAGCTCTGTGTCACGGCTGGTGACCCTTGGAGGGGCCCAGAGGCACCCCCGGGCTCCCTCTACGGTTGCAATGGGCAAACCTCATTTCTGGCTAGCACCCCTGGCTCAGCTTCACACTTTGGCCAGAACTGTGGGTTGAGTGGGAGGCAGGGATTGATGCTGATGGTGCTGACGTGAGGATTTCACCCCTAGTCCCACACCAGGCAGATAAATTGGGTGTTTAATTGCTAACATCAATAGCCCTGCTGAGAGTGGGGAGACTAAGGACTTAAGATATACAATACTAAGGCACAGTGTGTTAAATAAGGCACCAGGGAAACACCTGGGTGCATGATCTGACACCACAGTCACACCACTGATGCATGATCCAGTCCTGGAAGGACAGATGAGCTGGGTGATGGGTGATGCACAAGGGCATCAGTGAACAGACTCTGGTTTGGGTCACCCAACCCAAAACAAAGGTCAGGGCCAGAACTGGGTCTCCTGTTGTCACTCCTGTGCAGCAGGACCACATAAACTATTAGGGACATGACTTGAGAGAAGGCAACAGGGAACATAGTAGACCAAATGATTTGATTGCCCAAGTTGGATTCCCCAAATCATTATTTTTATTACCTGTGATCTTTAATCTCAAAAGGAACATGATGGCCTTCAATAGAGATGTACGCTCCCTCTTTCCTAGTAGGAGTTGAAGTTTATGCTCTCACCTGTTTCGCAGGATTCATCTAAAAAGTCAGTTGCTGACCTTGGCCATGCTGACATGATCAGCTTTATTATCTGATTCTCTCCCACCAAGATCAGTTTTAGTCAGCACATTATCAGGGCCACTCTGGGGAAAGTCCAGCTACCCCTTGCTCACATACAGGCTCTTTCTTAGGCAATGTAGGTTTCATTTGCATTCTCATGCTCTAAACTTCTGCCCAGTAG